AGAATTTTGAGTGAATTTTTTTTTTCAAATTTAAAGATCAGCCTTTCACTAACTGCTAATAATAATACCACAATGGTAAAATATTATAGTACAAAGAACAGACCAAACAGATAAATGGAAATAGAAGTGCCCCCCCACAAGACCCTAGACAGTCTACCTAAGAATTCTGCATGTAATAACAATGACATTTCAAATCAGTGTAAAAGAATGAATTTCATCCTTTTGAATGGAATAAATGGTGCTGGAACAACTGGACTATGCAGGGAAAAAAATTAGTTTCGACTCCTACCTAATTCCTTACACCAAAATTAATTTGAGATATTTATGGTACTCAAAAATTCAGACCATATTAAAACCGGAAGAAAAATGGTTAGATATCTATCTAGTTTTGAGGGTGGAAAAGACCTATTCAACATAAAAGCAAAACAGAAGTAATTAAGAAAATAAAAATAAAAGTAATAGAAGTAAAATTAAAATAAACTGGGAAAAACTATTTGCAATATGCACAAAAAAGGAGTTATATCCTTAATACATGAAGAACTTCCAAATTAATAAGAAAAAATAATTTGGACAGAAAAATGGGCAAAATACATTAGCAAACAAATACTAAAACATACAAGTGTAGATAAACATTAAAAAAATGAAAACTAGGGCTGGCCCGGTGGTGCACTGGATAAGTGCGCCGCTTGGGAAGCACGGTGCTGCTCCCATTAGCAAACAAATACTAAAACATACAAGTGTAGATAAACATTAAAAAAATGAAAACTAGGGCCGGCCCGGTGGTGCACTGGATAAGTGCGCCGCTTGGGAAGCACGGTGCTGCTCCCACCCGAGGGTTCGGATCCCACATACAGACGGGTTCCCGCTCACTGGCTGAGTGAGGCGCGGGAGCAGCACCGAGGGTTGCAATCCCGTTGCCGGTCCCCGGTCCGGTACGGGGGCAACACTGAGGGTTGCGATCCGTTGCCGGACACGGAAAAAAAAAAAAAAAAAAAAAAAAAAAAAAAAAATGAAAACTATCACTAACAAAAAATGCAAATTAAACAAGATATAATTTACTGTCTACCAAATAGGCAAAAATATTTTAATTATGCTAATATCAAGTGCTGGTGAGGAGTAAAAAACAGGATCCCAGCAGCCCTGCTGGAGGTATAAGCAAGTATGAGCTAGATAGAGAGCAAATAGTCAAAGGTGTGGTTAAGATTTTGTACAAACAGTATTATTTTTATTGTAAAAAATTAATAACCTAAATTATCGACAACAGGGGATTGGTTAATCATGGACAATGATGAAATATTACCAAGCTTTAAAACAATCTTTTCAAAACGTATTTAATGACATGAAAATGATTAAGAAACTTCAAAATGAGTTACAGAATAGCATTGACATGATCCTATATAGGTTAAAAAAATTTTTTGTGTGTGACTGAGGGGAAAAGGCCATATTTAAAAAACCTAAGACATTAACATTATCTTGGGTGGGATTATAGATTATTTGTATATTCAGTACAAAAAAAAAAAGCCCCCAACAAATGCTATTTATTTATGTCCCCTTTTTTCTTTTGGCAACATGAGAAAGAGTGTCAGCTATTTTAGAAAATGTTGATACTTTCTTAGCAGCTCTGGTAAGAGGTTTGATTACTTATGCACTTCAGCTATCTGTTTCGTTTTCTCCCATCTAGATTTCAGGAATGAAAGATAGATGTATGAATCTGTGATAAGATCTCAGACATAAGAGTATTTTTGAGGTGGCTAAGTGTCAACAAAATTCTTATCTTTCATTATTTTGCTGCAACAGGAAGGAAGAGACAGTCTGTTGACCTGGCTGTCAGTGGGTGTGAGGCTAAAGGCACTCAACACAGAGCTTCTGAAGCCCAGTGTCAGCACCTGTATTCATTGGTCCTGGAGGCCATGAGTCCTGGAGCACAGGAGTTTCTGGGGCCCAGCAGAGAGGATGGTAGAGAAAGGGAAACAAATAGGCTAAAAATTTTTCAGATCTAAATAGGAGCACGTTGTCAGTACTATTTTGTAACTCATTCTACAGTATGTTAAGTTTTGTTTTGTTTTTTGCCTTTCCTAGCCTTGGCAATTCTACCTATGTCTCAGTGAAAAGGCACCTGTAAAAATCTTTAAATTGAACCAAACCATGAAACTCCATCCTAAGAGACCAAACAGTCGTAACTTAAAAAGACAGAGAACATGAACGAAATAATGATGGTAGTAGTTTCTTTACTGTTGGGTGGGGTAGGTATCCAGAAAAAAGAGAAGTCTTCAGGGTGCACAGGTGCAGGATGCAATGTCTTTGTCAGGTCTGCCTAGGTGACCCGGAATTTAAACTTCTGCCGTGGTCATTATCTTTAACTAGAAAACACCACCTTACAGGATATGGTGTCATATCCTTGCCCTGCCCCAGCCACTTCCCACTGGTTACTGTACTCTGTCAAGCTCCACATGCAGTGGTCCTCCATCCTCTTTTACTTATGCACATAGTAAAAGTATATAGCTAGTTCCATCCCACAAACTCTGTCTGCTTCAGGCCTGAAAAATTTCCAATATTTGCTCTTAGAAGAGCCATCTGCTGGTTGGGTTTTATTTAAACCATATACTGGAACCTGGGATGCATTTTTTCCCAGTAGCATCCATTTCCAAGTTAGTTCTATGCCAACAAATAGCACCTTGCTCTGCTGTCATAGTTCTATGCCAACAAATAGCACCTTGCTCTGCTGTCATCTGGTTCTTCCTGATAATAAAGTCTTCTGGATTAAAAACAAGCAAACAAACAAAAAAAAAAACTTCGTCTACTGGCATATCCCATAAGCCTGTCATTACAAAAGTTACAAACACTGACAATAGGGCACAGTCTGAAAGAATAATACAAAGAAAACCCCTAAAAGTCTAGCCAGATACCACATTAGCTACTTAAGTGGGAAAAATCTTGTTCCAGTCCCAGAGTAAATCCTATAGCATTCTGGGTAAAAACATTAGAAGAGAGAAGGAATATCAGAATTATTTGGATCATATCCAATACTAGATTGATTTTTCTGCATTCTCAAGGGTCAATAAGATGACTGACCTTTGCCTAAAATTGCTGGAATAAGGCACAATTTAATGATCAGATTTGATATAGAAAAGCTGCACTGAGAAAGGGATCACTCCAACTCCAAAGCCTAAGTTCAGCAAGTGTTGGCAGTCACAAACTGGAGATGGCCTGCAAAGGGGAACTACTGATTTTCAGGATGAAGACCAGAATTTTCTTTTATTGCAAATGCAGCCAACAACATAAAATCAACACCAACTGATTCACACAACCCAAGGCTACTCAAAAGGCAGTTTCCAATAATCAATAGTAGTGGGGGTGGTTCAACTTTATTATATGGCTGAACAGGTCTATTTGGCTGGAGACCTGAGGGTCTAAGACTTACTCATAAATTCATCCATCTGAAAAGGTGAGGCTGGTGTGGGGAGTCAGAACTATATAAAGCAGTCTGTTCTCTCCCAGACAAGTCAAGTTGACTAGAATGGATAATCCTACCAAACCCATACAGAGCAGTATTTTTAGCAGTTCCATAGTAAATAACAGCATCCACACCTCAGAAGAATGCCACATAGCCAGATATCCTACCTTCTGTTCAGGGTAGATTAGGACTCAGATGAGGAATAGAAAAAAGTAAGTGAACAGGGGTAGTATTCTAGCTATAGAGGGTGGTTTTCCTTAATTCCATCTATGTCCATTTTATGCTGAACATACATGGCTATAAAATGCCCTTAATCCTGCAGCATTCTGGCTAAGATCAACTCTATCTCTGTGTAGGTTAGTTCATGAAAGCCCCTAGCCCTACAGAAAAAGCAGGCTGTAGTTTCAGCATTGGTGTGTTTTTTTGGCTTTTTATAGAAAATGATTCTCAGAAACCACGATGGCTCTTTGCATTTCCTGTGTTATTCTTCTCTGGGGGGACAGAGTACTTCTTTCCTTCCACTTCCAAAACGGGACACAGCATCATGTCTTTCTTCAAAGACTTCTCCAACTAACAGTACATTCAGTTCTTAGGGACCTACCATTAAAAAAATGCCAGGAACGTTTCTTTTAGCCACTAATGTCATTAAGGAACTTTCTATGTTAGTTATCTGTCCTCTTTCCAGGACTTTAAAGCAATAATTTCCCAAAACCACACAGTACTTAATTTGTCTTGCTTACTTATATATATATATTTTAAATGTAAACAACAATCCTAGGGAGTCTCACAGAACAGGGTGGGTCCTTCTCTTGCCCCAGACTTCTGAGGCACTTCCCTGGGCAGCCCAAGTCTTGGCAACTGACTTCCAGAGCCTGCTGAAGGCGATGCAAAGAGCTGGGCTGGGGTTGTAAACTTTTGCCACCATACTTCTATGAACTTTAATCCCTTTTGTTTATTTGGGATTTCACTAATATTCAGGAAGTCTAAGAGCTGAGAAAGAAGGGCAGGGTGGTAACATGTTATTGGCTAAATCCAGAGGTCCTTGGTGAGACCACAATTAACAGGAAGCAGAACACAGTACCAGCCAGAAAAGCACCTTCATCACAGTGTGCTGCTGACCCTGTGGACAGGTGAGATGGTGGCGCCTTTCTTGAGATAGTCACATTCCACCCTATCATGATACACTCACCCATTGGAGGGTTTCTGTTGTAGTAAAAGACACTGACCTACCCTACCCAATGGGAGAGTAAAAGACAAAATGTACCCCAAAGCAAATTTTAAAATACCTCTCAAAATGTCTTGCCACAGCAAAATAATCATTTTTTGAATAAACAATTCAACTAGGTAGCCATTATCATTACTCAAGTCTCCTACAAGTGAAAGGAACCAGAGGTTCCTAGAATTTTCCTAGGCATCAGATGCTTACCAGTGAAGAAAAACTCAAACCAAGGCTCATTCTCTTTCTAAAGGGTTTGTTGCCAGTCATATCAGGAAAGTTTAAGTGGAAACAGGGAAGAAATTCAATAAAATATTTATGCTCTCTTACCATTAGCATCTTGGACTCCAGTAAGTGCTCCGACGGCTGCTGCGGTTTCCCCAGACAAGACAATCTGTCCCCCACCTTGTAAGGTGGCCTCAGCCAGGGTGGCAACAGCATGGGCAGCAGCTTCACTGCAGATACAGGAACAGGAGAGAGGGAGATGTGTAAGATGAATAAAGATATAGCACTGCAGCAAGACAAACCATCCTTTCAACTCCTTCCTTGCATCTCTTCACTGACTCCATGGTTGTGGGCCTACCAGCAAATATGTGATGCCAGTGCTAATGGACAGAGCCAGGAGTAACTTTAAAATGGTAATAATAAACAACTAAAGAAATTCCAAGTCTTACATATTTGTAAAGCTAATGCGAGAGTTCCTTTAAACCTAAGTAATGAGTGTTTGAGGACAGAAGACACTCATTATCAGTCTCTTCCTTATCAATATCAATTGAGTGCTTGCAGGCCATAGTGGAAGGTCTGATCCATATTGACAATGCAAAAGCCATTTTTGGTTGTCAATCACAGGTTTTCTTTTTCTCTTTTCTCTTTACAGTAACACAAGGCAGACCATGTGAGACTGTTCTTTACTAGCCAAGGACAGATGATAATGAGGAGTCAGCAACCTGGACTTGCTATTCAATTAATGTTAAATAATAACAATTTGGTTTATATCTGTGCTTTTCAAATACAAAGTAATTGACAGAAAAGTCTAACTCTTTCCTCACTGTATATGCAGGCAGGGCTAAAATGAAGACTTAAAATTTAAAATTATCACTATAAGCCCGAACTTCTTTGCTAATAACAATTTGGTTTATATCTGTGCTTTTCAAATACAAAGTAATTGACAGAAAAGTCTAACCCTTTCCTCACTGTATATGCAGGCAGGGCTAAAATGAAGACTTAAAATTTAAAATTATCACTATAAGCCCGAACTTCTTTGCTTCTATAAATACAATGAAATAATAAACCTTTCACTACAAAGTAAACACTCCATAGAACAGAAAGATGTTAACCATCTGTGAGCACTATTTTAGCAGTTTGTATCCTATTTTTCTTTCTTTTCCTTGCTATATACTTTTACTATGTGCATAAGTATCCATTTTTCTTGATTGTATGATGCTATAAACTATAAGATGTACTATTATTTTATGTGCCAGTAAGGAAGAAAAAAAATTCCTGACATTTACAATTGTAAGCTTATAATTTGCCATCCAAATTTCAGAGATGTTAAAATGTGAAAAAACAGATAAATTCAGTATTTCTCCTGGGAAAGTAACAGGTGCCAATCTGCAGTTACTGAGGGAATATCAACAGTGGGCAGGTGGTGTCATTTAGTTTAGCAGAGGTGGGCAAAGTGCTGGGTTTGACCCCCAAATAAGCCCGTTGATTCATCTTTGGTCTGAAACTGCAACTATGCCAGCCGTCTTGCAATCACAAGCTATAAGTGTGGAAGGGTGAGGGACGGAGATCATTCAGGGTAAACACATCATGACTGGGCAAAGCAACATGTACCAAACTCAATAGTGTCTCTTTCACCTAAGAAAGTCAGCAGACAAGGCAACAGACATGGTAATTCCCCCAGAGAAGACTTCTTGGTCATTGTAAGGATTCTAGGAAGCAGTAAAAGAAACTCAATGGACAGAAAAGTCTCATCAAATAGAAAAACTCTCCTCTTCTTATTAACTTGCCTTGCTTAAGCATAAAAGAATTTAAAATCTCATACAGAGATAAGTTATTTCCTTCTAATCTTCAACACAAGTTTAAACAGATAATCAAGATCATACTGTACATACAATTAAAAAAATTTTTTTTTTAATTTTTAATGTTTTTATTTTTTGGTGGCTGGCCAGTACAGAGATCCAAACCATGACCCTGGCATTAAAAGGCTGCACTGTAACCAACTGAGATAACCAGCCAGCTAAAAAATTTTTATTGTGGTAAAATACACAACATAAAAATGGTTAAGATGGTAAATTTTAAGTACATAGTTCAGTGATATTAAATACATTCACAATGTCATGCAAACTTTACCAATCATCTCTGTAACTTTTTTTTACCTTGTAAAACTGAAACTCTGCTCCCATTAAACAATAACTTCCTATTCCCCCCCTCTCCCTGGTCCCTGGCAACCACCATTTTACTTTTTGTCTCCATGATTTTGACTACTTTAACTGCCTCAAATAAGTGGAATCATACAGTATTTGTCTTTTTATTTATGATTAGCTTCAACTTAGAATGTTCTCAAGGTTTATCTATGTTGAAGCATTTGTCAGAATTTCCTTCCTTTTTTAATGCTGAATAATATTCCATTGTATGTATATAACACATTTTGCTTATCCACTCATCCAAGTGTTCATGGTCACTTGGGTTGCTTCCATGTTTTAGCTGCTGTGAATAATGCTCTATTGATATGGTTGTATAAATATTTCTTCAAGATCCTGATTTCAGTTGTTTTGGGTAAGTACTCAGAAGTGGATTGGTATATCATATGGTAATTCTATTTTTAATTTTTTGAGGAAACATTATAGTGTTTTCCACAGTGGCTGTACCATTTTACATTCCCACCAACAGTGCACAAGGGTTCTAATTTCTCCACATCCTTGCCAACACTTGTTATTTTCTGGGGGTTTTTTTTGTTTGTTTGTTTTTGGGGTTTTTTTGCAGCTGGCCAGTATAGGAATTGAAGCCTGGATATTTTCTGTTTTTTGGATAGAAGCCATCCTAATGGGGATGAGGTGGTATCTCACTGTACTTTTTGATTTTCATTTGTCTAATGATTAGTGACATTGCGCATCTCTTCATGGGCTTATGGCCATTTGTATATCTTTGGAGATATATCTATTCAAGTCCTTTGCTCAATTTTTTTCTTTGCCCATTTTTGTAGGGAGTTGTTTTATTGTTGTTGAGTTTTAGGAGTTCTCTATATATTCTGGTTATCCATATATGATTTGCAAGTATTTTCTCCCTTTCTGTAGGTTGCTTTTTTTTTTTTCAAAAGATGACCGGTAAGGGGATCTTAACCCTTGCCTTGGTGTTACTAGCACCGCACTCTCCTGAGTGAGCCACGGGCCGGCCCCATGTAGGTTGCTTTTTTATGCACAGATTTTCTGTTGATAGTGTCTTTTATCGCAAAAATTTTCATGAAGTCCAATTTGTGTATTTTTTTGTTGTTGCTCTGCCTTTGGTGTCATATCCAAGAAATCATTACCAAATCCAACGTTGTGAAGTTTTGTCCTACATTTTCTTCTACGAGTTTTATAGTTTTAGGTCTTACATTTAGGTCTTTGATTCATTTGAGTTAATTTTTGTATATGGTGCTAGGTAAAGGTCCGACTTCATTATTTTGCATACGGATATCCAGTTTTCCCAGCACCATTTGTGAAAAGACTGTCCTTTTCCAATTGAATGCTCTTGGTATCCTTGGCCAAAATCATCTGACCATATATTTGAAGGTTTATTTCTGGGCTCTCAATTTTACTCTATATGTCTGTCTTTAAGCCATACTGTTTTGATTACTTGTGCCTTTATAGTAAGCTTTGAAATCAGAAGTGTGAGTCCTCCACCTTTATTCTTTTTCAAGATTGTTTCAGCTATTCAGGGATCCTTGAGATTCAATTTAAGTTTTAGTATGAACTTTTCTACTTCTGGAAAAGATGTCACTGGGATTTTGATAGGTATTGAACTGAATCTGTAGATTGCTTTGGGTAGTACTGACATCTTAATAATATTAACTGTGGGGGACAAATTCAAACCATAGCAGCATCTGTAATGTGAACTCAGAGCCAAAGGGGACTCCTGATGTGGAATTACTACTAAGACTATTCTTTACATTTTTCTAATAGATTTTAACGATGTTTCAGTCAACAATGAACTGCATATAAGATGGTGGCTGGAGTAATAGCCTATACCATACAGCCTAGGTGTGTAATAGGCTGTGCCATCTAGATTGCTGTAAATACACTCTATAATGTTTCCACAATGATACAATCACCCAATGATGCATTTCTCAGAAAATATCCCCATCATTAAACAACACATAACTGTTATTTATTAGAGATAGTATAATGAATGATTACTTGGTGCATAGGTCCACAATTTTTAATACTTTCTAAGAAACTTGTGTCAATAAATAATACTCCAGCCAATTTTACAGATATCACTGATTAGTGATAAAAATATTTACACTCTGACATGAGACTTTATGTAAAGTGGAAAAGTATATTCTTTGGGAAAAACTGCAGCTGTGTGGTATTCTTTTTTTTTTTAAAAGATGACCGGTAAGGGGATCTCAACCCTTGGCTTGGTGTTGTCAGCACCATGCTCAGCCAGTGAGCAAACCGGCCATCCCTATATGGGATCCGAACCCGCGGCCTTGGTGTTATCAGCACCGCATTCTACCGAGTGAGCCACGGGCCGGCCCAGCTGTGTGGTATTCTGAAGAAGGAAGCTGATATATCAGAACAGTTTATATGGAAATAAGATATTTGTAGCTTACCTCAGTGACTACTCATTCCTTACAATTTTGTCACAATTTACAATAACCTTATCTCAATGACCATATCAAAGGTAACATCCTGCCACTCTTATACACACAGGACACATGCTTGTAGTGTGAGTTTCCTAGGCAAGAAAGGACAGCTCCCCAAGCCTTGACATAGGATGTACCTGCATGATCACACCATTTTATTTTATCTGAAGTTCTAAATATCTGATGTTATTTTCTTTAATACCTTGCTAAAATATGGTATGGTAGAAGAAAAGCAGAGAATGAGCACAACCTAAAACAATCTGGGATGCCAGAGATGAGGGGTCCAAAAGGGGTGACAGGCTGATAGGTCAGTGAGGTTAGTTATTCCACTCCTTGTCAGGGGCCAGAGACAAAGCAACAATGGGTAGGTCTTTTACATGGGGCATAGAGACAATGCTTTTTCTCTGTGGTCAGGAGGCCTAACATTTCCAGAGCAATTCTAACCATTTACACTAGGCTTCATGGGAAATGACCAAACTAAACTACTAGAAAAGGATTACCTTTACTTAATAGTTGTACAAGAATTAAAATGTCCCTGAGCTACCACCTTACAATTTTTAGACAAAAGTCATTTCCAAACAAGAGCTGTTTTCATCTTTTTATCTATGTGTCCCACCTTAATCTACAGGAAAGAAACACAGCTGCATGTTCCAGAGAGGACTTCTGATCTAAGCTGTCCACCCCATTTTATTGGGCAAATACCAGTCTATATATTAAAGTCAAATTTTAATAACATCTCTAATTTTAAGTCAATAATATTTTCATCTTAAAAAAAAGTAATTTTTTCTTTAAAAATATGGTTTTCTTTTTTAAAGCAAAGTCTTCACAGCAAAAGAATGGCAAATTCTCAATTCCTTGAGAAGAACTAATCTGAGGATCCATTTTCCTCATAGCACTGAGTTACGCACACAGTATACACAAAATAAATACTGTCTCAGTGGTATACAGTATCAAGTAAGTTTCTATTAGGGCAAATGAAGACTCAGTCTACAAATCCATATATCATGTATCTCTATATGCAAGGACTGTACTGGACATATTCAAGAATTGACTTAGTGGAAGGATGTGTTAAACGGACTATAAGTCTAGAACAGGTTAACCAAAGAAATGAAACTTCAAATAAATCACAGTACCATAACAAGTAAATGATGATATCACTTCCTTTCCTCTTGGGTTGTTCAGGCTGAATAGTTCAATTTTTATTTTTTAAGCTGTGATGCTGTTCTTCATTTGTTCACTTTGATTCCCTCCCTATATCCTTCCTAAAAGTGCTGATTTATTCCTTATTTTGAAAATTAAAATTAAATTTCTTTTTTGTTTGTTTGTTTTGGTGGCTGGCTGGTAAGGGCATCCAAACCCTTGACCTTGTTATCAGAACCATGTTCTAACCAAGTGAGCTAAATGGCCAGCCTAAGTTTTGTTTTCAATGACAATTTCTCCATATCCCTCCGCCGCCCCCTTGGGTTGTTATGAAGCCAGGGTATGCTAAAAGCTGTGGAGCCCAAAGCCTTTGTTCTGACTTGCTGTACAAAACTCTTAACAGCATGGTTGAAAAACAGGTCTGTCTTGCATCTGTCCTGATCCCCTTTCCCCCTCTAAGAGATGAAGGAGCCCCCTGCCTTCTTATTCCTCCACCTGCCAATACAGGCAGGCTTGACTCTTCTCACCCTGCACCCACATCTGCTGTTTACAGTGCAGCATAGGTGCAAGTCGTTATTAGAGAGCCATGCTCATTCCATCTGCACCTGAAACAGGCTGGAAAGGGGCAGATTATGAAACTGCCTTGTTACCATAGGAACAAAGACAGGTTTCTCCATGTATATTTCACTAAGATGATTTCTGACAACAAATTCTGTGGAGAGGCTGAGAGTGCAGGAAATAAAGGATTTCACTTTGTCTCATCCACAGAGAAGCAAACACCAATGGCTCGTGTCTTAAATCTAACCCTCCTAAAACATGAGACTGTGGGTTACCTCTCTTGGATTCAGAAAGCCCCTGATGTCCTGATGTTCCCCTAAGAGCCAGCTTCTCTACACTGCCAGGCTCCGTTTCTTCACCCCCAGCAGAAGCTACAACCTCCTGCCCTGCCTCTCCGGGGCAACACTCATTAGGGCATTGAATGATCTGATTGCAAACAGATTTCAACATCTCTTTACTCCTTCTACATGCCACAGTGAACCACATTCTCCTTTCTTTGAAGTAAACACTGTAGCCACCTCAGCTGCATCTGAGTTTGTTAACAAGACCTCAGGGGATACCATTACCCCGGTTGCCTTTTAGAAATAAACACTGGTCCTTACAGCAAAGGGAGCTAGCGTGTGCCTCATATTTTCCACTATGTACAGGGTTCCCAGGACACTCACACTTTGCTGGAATATCCAAGGTACTGGCTGGAAGTCTCAACATCCAATGATCGGGCATGGGGATCTGAACCCTTGACCCTGGTGTTACAAGGTAGTGCTCTAACCAGCTGAGCTAACCGGCCAGCACTGGACATCTCAATGAAATCAAGTTTTGCTGGTCTTTAATGATGGCCTGTTAGGTCTCAAGCTACAGTGAGGGGTTACTGGATTAAAGGGAGGGAGGTTTTCACTTTGGCCATGCCTTTCAGGAAATTTATCTGGGTGTCCTCTCTCAAAGGAAGAAGTGAGATTAAAACAAAGTATATGGAAACAAATAAGACTTTCACCTTACTGAAAAGCAATATGGTCCATTTGGCTGAGAAAAATGTTTCAATCCCAGGTCACTCAGGGATTTGCTGGGTAACTCTGAGAGGATGTGTATGTGTGTATGAGGGTGTGTTTCAGTTTTCTACTCCTAATCAACCACCAAGTCCTGGCCATACTTTCTTCAAAATCAGTCACTCCATTCTTACTACTCTAGTTTCAAAGCCTTTAACAAGTCACACCTGAACTGTTCTAATCTCTTCTCATTATAATCAATTCTGAACAAATCTTAAAATATAATTTAAATGATAATAACTATAATTCCTGAAGTGCTTACCATGGGCTGGAACATGAGAGTTTCATATGCATCATCTCATTGAATCTTCTTGAGTATGTGTGATGAGTATTATCCTCATTATAACGATGAAGAAACTAAGGCTCAGGGGTTCAGTTTCTCAAGATCAAATGGCTAGGAAGTAGTGGAGCTAAGATTCAAACCTGAATCTATATGACCTCAGAATCCTCTTCTTAATTACCATACTATACAGCCTCATAGAATAAACTGTACACAAACTCATTATGGCTCTCCAGTATCTATCACAAGCAATCTAAACTTTAGCTGATTTTATATCTGGGAGGAGGTGATCTTTCTGCTCTAAATTTCTACAATGTTCATAGTCTGTACTACACAATTCAATAGTGAATTATAATCTAAGTAATACTGTTCACTAGTATTTTATTTAAATCAGTCTCCCCAATAAGAGTATGATTTCATTGAGAGCAGAGATTATACATTAGGGCACTCTTTTCTATATTTACAACCTTACCTAGTAGAGTGATGACATAAGAGTTCAAAGACTATCTGAGACTAATAGTTGCTTTGAATAATGATAACAGCAGCCCTTGCTATAATACCATACACTGATCTTAAGAACTGCACATGCAGTAACTAATTCAGGTCTCATAACAGCCCTACAAAGCAGGTACTGTTATCACCCCCGTTTTATAGAAGAGGAAAGCCTGAGCACTGAGAGTTCAAATAAATTATCCAAAGTCAAACAGCTAGTAAGTGACAAAACTGGGCTTCAAACCCAGGCAGGCAGTCTGGCTTCAAGGCCCACACTCTCTTAACTATTAATTAAAATGCCTGGGTCCACTGAAAATAAAATTGTGTCAGTAATGAAGAAGAAGAATGACACGGGGATGATCTTTCCTGTCCACAACCAGTAGAATGTTACAATTTAGTTTTGGAAACTATGTCTTAGTGGAGTATCCCATTCTGCAGCACCCTTCCTAAACACACCTGAAGAAAAAAAAGGTCAATTTTTCTTGATGAGGGGCGATTACACGCCAACCTACAATATCTTATAGGCTGAGAGTCTCAAGTTCCAACTGCCAAATGTGACAAACTGAGGTACAACATTTCTCTTTTAAGGGGTCTACACGCATACCTGCAGGGACAGATTTGTGATCCTCATTTATTCTCCCACCCCTGCCACCACCTGTTAAGTGCCATGGTGACTGTAGCTCCCTGTTGCATCTCCTGAGAAGCTGCCACTGCAGCCTCTGCCAATGATGCTACTGCCTGGGTGGCCTCTGATGCTTGCGTTGTCTGGATGGTCATCTCACCTCCCTGTAACGTGGCCCAATTTTGTTCCACCTAAGGCAGAAAGGACAAGAGAGTAAAAGATCAAAGCCACAAAATGGTTATGATTTTAGAAAGTCATTTTTCCAATAAATTCTTATTTTTTAGCCAAATAACCATACTTTTAAATTAACATGACCTACAACATACAGAACAGGGTTTTTAGTATGCTATCTTTTGTATAAAAATGGGGTATTAGAATATATATTTGAATTTGCTTACATCTGCATAAAGAAATTCTGGAAAAAAACATAAAAGAAACCACTGAAAATATCTTCCTCATTGTGTATGGGGGGTAGGGAGTTGAGAACAGGTTGGATAGGAGACAGAAAGCAAGATTTTCCATTGCATACTTTTAAATATTTTTTTAAAAATTTGAGCCATACCAATATATTACCTCCAAAATTAATGCAAAATTTTTGGATGGACAATAAATATAATTATAAAAAATTCATTATTCTTGATAATTGCTGAAGAGTACATTTTAAGTGTTCTCACTACAAAAAATAAGTATGTGAAAGAATCCATGTGTTACTTATCTTAATTTAGCTATTTCACAATGTATACATATTTCAAAACAATATGTTGTACATGATAAATATACACAATTTTTATTTGTATTTATTTATTTGTTGAAAGGAAGGGAAGAAGGAAGGGAGGGAAGTTGGGAGGGAAAGAGGGAAGGAGGGAAGGAGAGAGAAAGGGAGAGGGAGAGAGGGAAAATTTGTATTTATTTATTTGTTGAAAGGAAGGGAAGAAGGAAGGGAGGGAAGTTGGGAGGGAAGTTGGGAGGGAAAGAGGGAAGGAGGGAAGGAGAGAGAAAGGGAGAGGGAGGGAGGGAATAAATATGGGCTGGGTCATCAGAAACAGCCCATGGGGAAAAAAAATTCAAACTGTACCACAGGGAATTTATTACCAGTACTCTAGACCCTTTGTCCAAAAGGGTCTACATCCTTTTACTCTATCCTTTTTTCCCTCTTTCTACTCCCTCCTTTTAAAAAATGAAAACGGCAGCATACTAATCTATATAACTTTTTCACCTTGCTTTTTTCACAAACAAGCATCTCTGAAATGATTCCATTTTGGAACACATAAAACTTCATTCATTCGTGATTTATAGTAATGGCTGCACAGCATTATATTATACAGAAACACCATGATTTATTTAACCAGCCATCTTATAATGGGCATTTAGGTAGTCTCCAATCTTTTGCTATCACAAACAGTGCTGTGATAAATATCCTTATATACTACTTAGTATATCATATGTGAGTCTGTTTATTTATAGGGTAAATTCCAAGGGATAGAATTACAGATGAAAGTTATTTCGCATTTTCATTTTTGATGGAAACTGCCAAACTCAGCAAATATATATATTTTTTAATGTAGCAAAAGTCGCTTTCTTTTTAGTGGAGGAGGAATTTTTTTTTTTTGATAGAAAAGGAATTTATTGTGTCCTGTCCCTTATCCCCTTGGGCCACCTTTCAGATCACCATAAGGAGACAGCTTCATGCCTCTGGGTCTAGTTTGAGTGCAGGGCATCCCAGAAATGCCAGAGATTAACATCTTCAGGCCACCTTCATCCAGTGAGGGACAGGAGTCAGTTAACAAATACCCACACCCTGATCCCTGAGAGGGACACTTTGAATGAATGATGACTCTTCTGAGACCCCTCTGCAGGAATGAGCTCTAGTTGCCCACCAAGTTAACGTTCCCATTAATGTACCCTTTATTGGCACGTCTCCCTTCCCCAGTACTTCCTGGGATCACTTCCTACGGAAGATGTGTCTTCCAAAAATGGTCACAACAATATTTCCCATCCCACAAGCTTTTTTTTTTTTTAAAGATGACCGGTAAGGGGATCTTAACCCTCGACTTGGTGTTGTCAGCACCACGCTCAGCCAGTGAGCGAACCGGCCATTCATATATGGGATCCGAACCCGTGGCCTTGGTGTTATCAGCACCGCACTCTACCGAGTGAGCCACAGGCCGGCCCCCACAAGCTTTTTTAGAACCTTGCTACTCCTTCCATCAAGAGATGGCATCTATGTCTCCTTCCCTTGAGCCTGGGAGGGCTTGTAACAACTCCTGAAAACAGAATGTTGCAGAAATGATGCTGTGTGACTTCCAAAGGTAGACTAGAAAAGGCCATGAAGCTTCTGCCAGGTTCTCTTGGGACACTTGCTCTTGGAAACCAGTTGCCATGCTATGAGTAAGCCCAAGCCATATGAAGAGGCCATGTGTAGTTTTTCCTAGCTGACAGCCTGAGTTGAGATTCCAGCTGACAGATATCATCCACAAGGTGTGTAAGTGAAGACACCTCTGATTCTGGCCCCTGCTATTGAGTCATCCCCAGCTATTGAATCACCTCCCAGCAGATGGCCCACACATTGTAGAGAAGAGACAAGCAGTCTCCACTGTGCCCTGTCTGATTCACAGAATCCTGAGTCAGCCTGCCTGGGCGCTTCCGCTCTGCAGATGCCAAGTGGCGGAGGGGAGGTGGCAAGGCACGCCCCCACAGACAGCCAGAGCCCCGTGCCAGGTGGGCCATGCCTAGTGAGCAGAGCAGGTGTCTCATTGGGGATCACAAGCACTAGTGGAAGAGGAATTATGAAGAAAAAAACAAAACAAAACACTATCCAGTGACGGAGTAGACGAGAACCCAGCTTTGCTAGATCTAGCACAGCGTTTCTCAACCTTGGCACTATTAATATTTTGGGCCAGACAATTCTTTGTTGTGGAGGACTGTCCTCTGCCCTCCCCACTCATGACAATCAAAAATGTCTCCAGATATTGCCAAATGTCTCCTCTGGCCCAGGGTTGAGAACCCCAGATTTTAGTACAATGCTATTAGAGACTTCTCAGTTCTGGGTAGCTGTATCTAGCTACTTTAATCCATTCTGCTGAATAAATAATTATCACCCCTCAAAAACAAAAAGCAGGAGGGGCACTGAAAGCAATTTCTATGTGGAAATATGGTAGGTGATAAATCAGCTCAGGTATAGTACTTCTTTGGACTCCTGGGTCTCAGGATGTTAGCTGTGCTTTTCTGGAGCTCTTGCTGTTCCTACTTCACATTGCTTGGGCCTGGTGAGTGGTTATCTTGTGCCCGCCTGTTACTGTGTCCTAAAGAAAGTGCCACAAGCTCTAGGAGAGGTAGATATTTAAAATGCCTCCGGCTGTGGTTCTGTTACCATATTCAGATTATGAAAGTGCTTCTCAGAATGTTTGTCATAATCCTCACAGAGAACAAGACGCTCCTTTGAGCTACCTCACTATGAACCTTGAGTTCTCATGGACAGTGGATTGTGCTAGCAAGCCTTCAGGCCCATCACTACAGAGGCAGACATATCCCAGAGCTGCAAGGCTGACAACTGAGGAACTCACACTGACTTCCTGAGTGGCCAACTTTGAGTAAGGTATGATCACTTTGATCTCAGCATTCCAATGAGCATCACTGCCAACAATGCCACTTTAGATGGCCAGCTACACTGTCAATTCTTAGATGACTGATGATGCCACTCAAAACTTCTGCTGATGCTGGGCAGCACTGTCACCTATTGCCATGGAATAGTCTTCCTCTTCCCTGATCTGCTCCTCTAATTTAGCCCATCCCACTGCTGGCTGCTCTCACCTAAGGTTGGCCCAGTGTAGCTCTCCCATGTCTCCATACTCCAATGGCAGCAATTTAATACAGACACATTTAGTTACAACCATATTTGTAGTGAAAATAGTACAATAGTGAATGTTGCCATATACAGTAAAATTTAAGGAAGTCAAATTATATGGCATGAAAGATTAATGGGGATGACAGTAAAGGGTGAAGAGAAAATAGGAAGAACAGAGGAAGAGATTTCTAATCAGAAATGTGGCAGGTGATAAATAAATCAGCTAACATTTCTGGAATTTGCTATTCTTGAGTCTGAGTGCTTTAGCTGAGTTTGCTTGAGCCCTTGTTGCTCTTCCTTCCCATCTGTTGGGAGCCAGTGTGTGGTTATCTATGCCTGAATGTCACCATGTCCCAAAGAAAGGACCAAAAAGCCCTAGGAGAGAAAGATATTCGGAAGAAGTCCCATCAGCTTCTATGCATTTCTGAGAAAGACCTACTACAATGAGGCCCTTCAAACTGTGGTTCCTCTTATCTCTCTCAAGTGATAACTGCAGCTGTTGTGCGCTTTCACAACTCAATGCACTGAATGTGCTGCTCCCATCCCACCATCCTTTGCTGTACTAGTTAACTTTTTAGTCTGAGCTCAGGTGCTACTCCTCCTCTAGGAAGTGTTTCCTGAGACAACTCCACTCCCCTAAAGTCTCAGGTTTAGGGCCTATCCTCTGCATTCCCTAGAACACTGGCTTTGCCTGCTACAACATCTTTCTTGTCTCAGTGTGGTTGTTCTTTTTTTTTTCTTTCCCTTTTTGTCTTTTTCTGTGTCCAGCAACGGATTGCAACCCTCGGCGTGCTCCCGCGCCTCGCTCAGCCAGTGAGCGGGAACCGGTCCGTATGTGGGATCTGAACCCTCGGCGGGAGCGCCACCGCGCTTCCCAAGCGGCGCACTATAGCAGTGCGCCACCGGGCTGGCCCCAGTGTGGTTGTTCTTTATGTGCTTTTCTCTACCACCCACCTGTGTACTCCTTAAGGGCAAGGGCAGTCTTTACTATCATGTATCTGTAGTATTTATAGTGCCTGGCACAGGGCTCAAAAAGTGTTTACTGAATGGATGGATGGAGAACATCTATCTATATTTTCCTACTGTTTTTTTTTTTTTTTTTACATTTTCCTACTTGTTATTCAGGCTACCCACATTTCAGGTAAATTGATATTCATAAAAACCCAACCTACGTAAGTTATGCAGTTTCAAAACTGTTACACGTGTTTAAAATTCATGTCTTGGGCTGGTCGGTTAGCTCAGTTGGTTAAAGTGCAGCCTTATAGCACCAACATCACGGTTCAGATCCCCACACTGCCCAGCAGCCAAAAAAAAAAAATGAAATAAAACTCATGTATCTAATGTCTTTGTACTTAGGGATTTTTTTACTTCTCTAACAGAGTCGAATACACCATTATCATCAGATACCATTCTATTTCAAATTTTGATTTTTCTGACACTTAATGCAATTAATATCACAAATACCAATTGTTGGTCTTATCACACAACAGAATAAACTCTCAAACCCATTTGTATTTTTAAATATGCCATAAAAATCAAAATTGTATGTTTTAAAATCAATACAAATAGTTTATTCCATATTATTTTAAATACTTTCCTTGTTCAATTATATATATATGTAACTTGTTCTGTGTCCCTAATTTTAAACTGCTTAAGGCTAGAGAGGTTTTTTTTTTGTTTCTTTGTCACTACTCATATTATTGAGTATTCTCACCACACCAGGCCCCCAAATGGCCCTTCTCATAAATGTAACTAGAGGTACCTGGATGTTGAAGGCAGTGTGGTCTGATGGTAAGAGCTCTCATTGGTAAGGCTGGGATAACAAAACAACCTTACAACTTCTAAAAGCATAGGTACTATTTATTTTTATAAAGCACTTTCTGTTCCTTGGGAGAAAAGATGCTAAATGTAAGGAAGTAGAATGTTTCTACTGAGTCATCTGAAGCAAAGTCTTCATTGGCACTGATATGGTTTTATCTACCCCAAGTCTGTGAGATATTTGACTAATTATAGTTCCCATGGTTCAAAACTAAGATGCTAACAACCATGTTTACATCTAAAATCAGAAGACAAATGGAAATACACTATATAATCTAAAACATGTTATCACGTTCTGAGATAACCTTTGTTTCCTCTCTTTACATCATTTTTACTTCACTGGATGTGTGAGAATATTTTTTTCATTTGACTGAATCTGGGTCTTTACCAAAAAGATATTAAAACTTTGTATATGTCACTCACCCATCTCCACAACAGATGACTTAACAATGTTAGTGTGCTGGAAAAGCCATACATATATGACTGAGATTTTTTTTAGCCTTCATATTTTCTATGAATTTTCTTTTTATACGTGAAGTTAATCAGCAAAATGTGTTTCAAAGAATTAGTCTCCAGAGAAGTGTTTAAAAAACTAAAAGTTATATTCTTTAAATAGTATCAGGAAACATTCAGTAGAGAGATATGGTTGATAACTCTGGCTAAGCCAAAACTAACAAGTCTCATAAATGTACCCACTACTGTCTTCTCTACCCCTTTTATATTTCAAGGAATGTCCTCTAGTTTTAGTGTTCTGAGAACTGACAAATTTTTTGCTCTGCTAACCTATACCCTTTTATGATATTTATATACTTTGAAAAATTAAGTGTCCTGTTGACCTTCACCTTCCTACACTGAAAAATCAGGTGCTAGCTCCTGCCCCAAACATTCCCAGACTGCTTAGCTGGAAATATTCTCTCCTTCTGGAGGTACAGACCCCTTCGCAGCATCACATCACTTACATGTCTCTCTCCCTGATTAGTCCGGAGCGCCATGAAAGCAGGATTGCTGTGTAAATGACCTCCGTCCTGCTAACTAATTGTCTGCACCACAGCAGAGGTTCAATACCTGCTGGCTGAGAAAGGAGCTTGGCAGTGAACTCTCCCTTCATCTCACTAGCCGTGGGACTTTTGTCACTTCTCCCCGTTTCCTGAGGTGCATGAATGAAAGTGACTTTGTAGTGTTCTAAGTAGAAATGTTCCATGGTTTTGAACAAGGATGAGAGTACTTACTCTTAGCTTTATTTCCGATACTGCTCTTTGACATTTGTTGGCTATTTTTCAAACTTTAGGAGTATACCATACCAAAATTGTTAAGAGAAAAGCCGACAGTGACTTAATTAACCCTTTTGCTCACTTTTTTCTTTTTGGTGGCTGGCTACTTGGGGATCCAAACCCTTGACCTTGGTGTTATCACACCATACTCCAACCAACTGAGTTAACCGGCCAGGCTTCATTCGCTTCTTGAATCTCAGCAACAGCTCGGAGCTCAGACCCTAGATAATGTTTTTCAAAATGCACTACTCTGTGACTTTGGGCAAATCACCTAAACTGTATATGGTAGTCCCCACTGCCCCCCAGCTTATCCACAGTTTTGCTTTCCACAGTTTCAGTTACCTGCAGTCAACCAAGGTCTGAAAATATTACATGGAAAATTTCAGAAATAAACAATTCATACACACACACACACACACACACACACACACACAAATGAACAAACAAATAAAAACAACTCATACATTTTAAATTATGTGCCAGTATGGAGCCAGGGACTGGACCCCCGTCCCACAACCAGGCACACTGTGCCAGTACCTCAGGTCCTGCCCGGGGACCCGAGGTATGGAGCCGGGGACCAGACCCCACTCCCACTACCAGGCATACTGTGCCAGCACCACAGGGCCCATCCCGGGTCCCGAGGCATGGAGAAGGGGACTGGACCCTCCCCACACACACAACCAGGCACACAGCACCAGCACCTTGGGACCCACTCTGGGTCCTGAAGTATGGAATCAGGGACTGGACACTCCCCACAACCAGGCACACTGACAGCACCAAGGAGCATGCCAAAAAATCACGTCCATGTGGGTGGCCCACCACAGCCACCACAATAAGCATGGCTGCTGCAAAAGTGGCTAGACGTTACAACCACTATACAGATGGTCCGCCAACCACTGGAGTGCATTCACACAAGGAGAGTCACCAGTAGAGATAAAGAAAAGAAGAGGATGTCTCTCTCCACAAAGCCCATTTCAGAGTGACAGAAGAAGCATCAGCTTTATGATAATATTGGGGGACCTGATCACACCTCTCAGCATTGGACAGATCATCTAGGCAACAAATCAACAGAGTAACCATTATTCTTTCAGGAGAGAAGAAATCTAGGGCGATTAGAGGGAGGAGGGGGGAGGGAAAGGAGGGTGACGGGAGATTGGACAAGGGGCATAAAGAAAAATTATTATTTGTAACAATTTATATGCTAGTAATATTGATTTGATTAAGATATCTCAATATTGAACCCCCAAAATATGTATAATCAATTCTGATTCAATAAAAATTAAAAAAAAATAAAATAAATAAATAATAAATCATGTGCCATTCTCAGTAGTGTGATGAAATCTCACTCCATCTCACCTGGGACATGAATCAACCCCTTGTCCAGAGACTTTGCAGTGTATATACTACCCACCCATTAGTCACTTAGTGGCCATCTTGGTTACCGGATTGGAAAAAACATAGTATATAGGGTTCAGTACTATCCACAGTTTGAGGCATCCACTGGGAGTGTTGGAACGTAACCCCCTGCAAATAAGGAGGGACTACTATATGTCTCAGTTTTCTCACCTATACAGTGAAGATAACAGAACCTATACTTCATAGGGTTAGCCCACCAAGTGCTCAGTAAAGGTTATTAGCTACCTTTAGGTTACCATCCCATAATTACCTTCATTTTGGAAGGGAAGGAGTCTCCTGTGAAATCTTTTCAAAGGCATGTTTAAAATGTAATAAATCATGTCACTGATTTATGAATATATTTATCCCTTCAAAGAATGCTTCTCTTAGCCAGCTTGTTTTAATAAACAATTTTATTTTTCATAAAGCCCAAAGATGAAATTCTTTGGGATTCACAGCATAAAAGTATTAATGGGATTATCTCTTTTTATTGCATATTATACAAAATGTTGTATTGCAAATGTAAAATAGTAAATATCAGTATTATATCATCAAAGTCAAGGGTTTGGATCTCTGTACTGGCCAGTTGCAAAAAAAAAAAAAGTTAAGTATCTGATAGTTGGGTTTTAGTCATAATGATTCATGAATTTCAATTGTTACAATTAACATACACAGCATAAAATACTTTCCAAAACTAACATGGTTTGAAGTTTGAAAAGGTTTAACTAAAAAAATGCTATAGATGCGTTGGCTACTTCTTTGTCTCATAGACCTTCACTTCTCCCTTACCTATACATTCAAGTATCTAAGAAGATGCAGACAGAATCCCTTCTTACCTCTCCATCAGCCACAGCAGAATAATTCACTTGGGCAACAGTGACTGTGGTTGGCAATTCTGAAGCATCAGCCAATGTGGCTACTGTTGCCCCTGTACCAACCTAGAGAAAAATATAGAAAGTGATAAGTGTCAGTGGACGGATCCTTCTGTCTCTCCTTTACTCAGAAGCTAAGATTCATTTAATCCCAAATTTAGCACAGATAACGATTAATATGCCTTGTGATGTAAAATGAGTTACTAAAATCATATCTCAGAGACTAACATGAATTTCAGAATTTTCTTTCAACCAAAAATAATATTATAAGAGCTTTCATATTTCACTATCAGTGCTCAATGTCAATCAACCAACTTTCTACTCTCACCCCAGTCTGAACTTTAGAGGTTCCCTGTCTATCAACAAATTGTGTTTTATCTCAGAAGAGGTAATTCAGAAAAAATATTCTCAGGCCACTGACAGTGAAATGGTAAAAAGTAAGCCATGTTAAAGTGCTTTGTTATGGAAATGTCCAGGAAAGCTACTCACAGCTCCGCATTTAGCAAAATGCAAACAATTTAAAATATTCTTCAGAAATAAATTTCAGGTAGGAAGATCTTAGGGAGCTATATAAAGTTCATATGAGAGTTTGCACAAAGACAACTTTCTCCAGTCCGAGGTGAGGTGCCCACTGATTCATCTCAGAACCCACAATCTGGTGACCATTCGGTTTACTCACCTGGATAAGCGAGACAGTGCCATCAGGGTTACTAAAGGTCTGGACTACAGTCTGTGATGGTACAAGATGGGCTATACTGTGTGTGGTTGTGGCCTGTGTTTGTGTTTGCTGATCTTCAAAAGCATATAAAAGATCTTCCCGACCATGCTGTTTATAACAGTTTTTAACTATGGTCCGTAGTGCCTGGGTCCATGAAACCTGTCACAAAAAGATCAGAAAAGTACATTAAGCCACAAAGAACTTTAGTTATTTAGTCCCATTATGGAATGAGCATCTGATTATTTATCAAGCCAAACCAAATCTGTATAAAGTAAATTCTCTTAGAATTATTTCCCACAGACTGATTCTGGCATTAAGAAACTAAGTATCAAGTACCAAAAGAGGCTTCCCACTGATTTCCTTCTTGAACAAAGTCTGGTTTAGCTTTTGGGTTTTATACCCTATTCTAATCTGAGGTCAAACACTTAACTTCTCATAAAACAACATTACTCTGGCCAAGAATGGTATATTATGATTCTCAGTAAACTTCAAAGCTAAATGAAAAACAAACATGCAGAAAAAGTAAGGGGTGGTATCCAGTGTAGTTTTTCTTTTAAAAGTTTCATTATTAGCAGAATCAGTTGGCAGACTTCATACCTCTCTAACTCCATATTTATATTTTTCAACAGTGATTCTTGCTAATCAGAAATTAGAACATTTCTAAGTCTTCAAAGTGATTAATATGTTTACTTCAAGCTTATTTGGTTTTCCCCAAGTACCTCATAAAATTAGAACTGCTCCAAAAGGCAACTATAAAAAGACAGTATAAATTCAAGAACCCTTGCCAGTCTTAACTGTGATGGAGCAACAAATGGGAAAAGCTATAGAGAACACCAATCTTCTTTGGAGGAATAAGTTTGATTATTACACAAAAGTGTTTAGACTTTTTAGCAGAAGATGTAGAAATGACAAGAATTGAAGCGGTTGATTCAGAATAGAAAAGCAACAGGCAACTCAGACCAGAGAAACCCTTACCCTCTGCTTTTGCTCTTCTGTGCGGACATCGCTCCGAACATTTGCCCATGGGATATCTTCTGGCCACCAGATGGGCTTGCAGCTTTCTTTCCCCCAACCTGGTTTTCCCCGACCTGTGGAATACTTGAGCATCTCTGGGATAAATGCCCGGAGCTGAGCCTGGAAGAGAAAAGTGTGGCCATTAGTAGTGATGAAAGACATTTGGGATGTGTTTATGTACCCTACCAAATTCTAAGATTATAAAACAGACAGCCTTCCTGGAGGGTTCCAGAGAATTCCAAAATGTGACTGATGAGAACCCATTGTTATCCACAGGTTACTATAGCTACATAGGTGATTGAGAATTATACATATATTGGTAAAGTGCATGTTAACTGCATTTTGTAGACCTGTTCCTATAAGAGCAAGAATATCTACCTCCAAGTTTGAGTTCTGCCTCCTAAGATACTACTGGTATTAGCTTATTCCCCTTCTATAGTTTCCATTCATTTAACGTGTCAAAGTCAAGGTGTATTCAACATTATTCTGGAAGTAGTAATCAATGTAAGCAGATAAGAGAGACATAAGAGGTGAGGAGCAGGGAAAAGCATCATTATTTGTAGATGAAATGACTGCGTATCTGGAAAACCCCCGAGAACTAAATGAAAAACTACAAAATATATGAAAATATATGATTACAAAATGCAGGAATATAAAATATATGATTATAAAATACATGAAAATAAATAGGCTTTCAACTTAATAAAAAGGGGAAAATAACCCTAAAGCTCTTCTAGAAAGTTTCTAGTAAACTAGGTCACTGTCCATGAGTCTGACATATAAGTGAAGCTTGTGTTATTTTAAATATATTAAGGACTTCATTCAGATTTATTTGACAAATCAAATCCAGACCAAATTGGTTTTAAACCAGAGATAACTGCCATTCTTATTTCCTGGCACTGTAACCACACTCTATGTGTGTTGGGGCAAGACGGAGGTCTACTTTGTGAATACTCTTAATTGCTAATAATGATTTCTGAAAGAAAAGCAGTTTATGAAGTTATAACCTTATAATTCTTCCCCAAACCTACTGCTTTCCTTTTAACCTTGTGCTCTATAATACTCCAGAGATAAGCAGCATCCTCCAGCTAAGGACACATCTATACATCTGCAGCTTAAAACCAAAAAGAGAGGACATTTTTAGCAATGAGTCAGATACAAGGACATGGATTTGCAGACATAAAGTAAAAATACAAAAAAACAGAAATGGGAATACTTACATATTAATGAAAGAACGAGCATGCAACACCATAATATTGAAGATCTTATGGATATCAGGTATTCTTATAATTTTTATTATAGTAAATATTAAATATTATTTTACCAGGAGATGATATAAATTGTTACATAATAGGGAACCATGAACTCAAATCAGTGATGTTTACCTAATAAAGAAAGCTTTGGTTTGACAGTATTTACACCGTAAATTCTTATGCTGAGGCTGTTTCTAAATCCTCCCCTCCCAGACAGTCTCCTGCCTACAGGATATGATATAACATATTCCATATATATTTGGCTCTGTGGCATCAAGCAGGTTAATAGAAATGTATCCATTTGCAAACCCATGCTATCAACTGGCTCATGAGGTCATTCCTTCAGTTATTTTAAGAAAGTGCATCTCAAAGTCATTTTTCCCTTTATCCTGATTTCTTGGGAGGTGTCTTTTTCTAGACTCAGACACACTGAGCAAGAAAGGGCTTAATCCTCACCTACAACATTTTACATTTCTTCATATAAAAAAACCAATGGTTTTCTCAGATGCACAAACTAAATAAACTGATACAGCAGACTTTTATAAATTCCCCTTTATTTTAATCCCAGTAACAGTCTCCCGAAAGGAGAGTTCTTTATATCCCTACGTAGGAGTTTGGAGAAAATAAAAGAAGAAGGTTAAGTATCTCTAAATTAACAAAATACTAAAGCGTTCAGAAGAACTCATTGTGGAGAACACTAGGCTTACAGAGTCTGCTCAAATCCAACTGGAACTCCATACAGTCTCTATTTCTGGTGACTGCTCCTCTTCTGCTCACCCACCCTATCTGCACCAATAGTTCTCTATGCTCCTCAGTTCTGGGTCACTCTGGCACCTGGCTATGGACACCTTTCACCTCAGTCTTGCTTTGGCTCTCCCACACCTTGCTCAGGCTTTCCACTGAGTTTCAGGAACTCACTGGTTACTTGAAATGGGCACAGACTCAGCCTTCTCACTGAAACCCCTAACCCTAGCCTTTCTCCAACTACCTGTCTTCTAACTTCTTAGTGACCATTTGCTGAAAAGAAATATTTCAAATATAATGACATTTTATTTTCGAGGCCAGCCTGGTGGCGCACTGGATAAGTGCGCTGCTTGGGAAGCATGGCGGCGCTCCCGCCCAAGGGTTCGGATCCCACATGCAGACCGGTTCCCGCTCACTGGCTGAGCGAGGCGCGGGAGCAACACTGAGGGTTGCGATCCCGTTGCCGGTCCCCGGTCCGGTACGGGGGCAACACTGAGGGTTGCGATCCGTTGCCGGACACGGAAAAAAGACAAAAAAAAAAAATGACATTTTATTTTCAAATCAGGAAAATTAAGGACTCTATTCTCCCAATTCAAAGAAATAGCCAACTTTCTGAAATGATTTCTCAATACTGAACACACTATAATGTACACAAAGACATTCATTCTCAGTTTTTCAAAATGCATAAAGTAGAAAAAAGCAAAAGGTGGTAAAAGAATGAGTTTATATGTATCTGTGTAAATAGGGCTGTGGATGAGAATTAACAGATGCTAGAACCAAGAAGGAACCAAATTGATCATCTGGGCCAATTCCTTGCATTGAGGAAGCAAGCTGTTACAAACCTGGCCCCAATGTATAGCTAGTTGAGGTGACTTATTCTGCTGAATCCTTGAGCACTACAAAAAATGTACAAGCAGATTAACTAATAAAAATTGTCAGAAAATGTGACTCAGGAGTAACCATAATTATAGGAAGGGCAGAACTAGGAAATGTCTCAAAGACATTTTATGTGCTAGAAATCTCTAGATGAGAAATGTTTCAAACTCTTAGGAAGAAGATCCAAGAGGCTAATATGAGAGGCAGGAGAAACAGCACAAAGGGAAGGCCACTTCCACAAGCAGAAAACCCCATCAAGTTAAAAAATTGAACCAGAGTTAAATTAGCTACTGGTATGCAAGTTCTAATTCACCGGCAGATCCAGCTTTTTTAAAGTGCTATCAAGTGTACAAAAATTTCGCCTATATTAAAAGAAGAGGTAAAAAGCACTTTCTACTGTAAAAGTTCATTTTTCAGATCTGTATATTTTGGGGATGAAGGATATTTTTTACTTTTAAATGCACAGAGATAATCTGATTTCACTGAAAAAGGCAATTTTCCACCAGACTATTTTTATACTGTCCCAAATAAGAAGTGCTAAGGCTACAGAGACTGTTAATGATGGAAAATTAGGGCTGGCCTCTTAACTCAGCTGGTTAGAGCGCAGTGTTGGTAACACCAAGGTCGAGGGTTCAGAAAATTAGCTGTCAGTAAAGAAAGTGTTAAAGATTCCTTTCCAGAATTCAGCATTGTGCTCTTATTACCAGTTGGATTAATTACTGGTTCTGGAGAGTTCTGGAAACCAAAGGTTCTCAATGTGCTTGTTAAGGAAGGCTTGTCTTTAATCCACAGGGAGACAATCAACAGGATCAGCAAAGGTAAAGGCTAACCTCTCAGACTATCCTTTAATTGGGTTGGAGTAAGATTTCCTGGCCTCTGTCATTCTGACTTAGGGCTCTATATGGGCCAAAGTGCCCCAGCTTGATCAGTATACCCACCCCAACAAACAAAGAGTAAAAAGTACACTTCCGAGGTATAACCAGCAAAGAAAAATTCATCAAATTCATGCAAGTGGTAAAGAGTATGTGGAGACAATAGATGGTTTTAAAATAAAAGATTTTCTACAGCTCTAAAAAGTCTAATCCCACCAAAATGAAACAATAATTCTTACTATGCTAGACATTTGCCACTTCTGAATTCAGTTAATCCTTCACTGTCCAACAATGCATTGTCCTTACATATTCCCAAATACCCTTTTTCTCTATCTTTGCTCTGCATGTACCTGAGTGTAGGGGTTTTCAAGCTCCTAATGTACATTTTGGCTCAATTACCAAGAAAAGGTTTTTCAGACCAAAATGTCTGCCAACTCCACCTCTACTGAAGACGTCAGAGAATATATAATAAATCTAATGAGAAGGCAGCTGAAATCAAACCATGTTAAGGTTATGTTTTCCACAGCCTACAGGAAGACAGGAATGTGGCAGGGAAGGAAAACTGGAGGATTTTCAGACTGTGGTGTTATTATTTTAACTTAAAATTATAAACTCCTAGGTTGACATGCCCAATTACATTCTAATGGATATTTAAAGAGCATTAGAGAGCTGAAGCAAAATGATTTCCTTACTACTTGGAATTATTTGTACTACTGATCTCTGTTCATAGAGATGATGGTGGCTATCCTTATCAGAAACATCACTTCCTAGTAGTACCACTTGAAACACTGGCTTCTCAATCTCATTGTTCCAAAAAACACATTCCCACAGAAAATGTGGAAAAAGCAAGCTGGCAATGAAAGGCAGGTGTAACTTCAAAATTAGTGAATTCAAGGGCCCAACTAATAAAGACACCCATTTGATGTCTTTATACTCTTCAAGACAAAACTGCACCTCCGCACCCCATCAACCTGTCAAACTTTCTCCCCCTCATTAATCAAAACACTCTTAAAGTCCTACCTTCTCTTTCAAGGAGTCTCAGAGTGATGAGTTTCTGTTAGCTTATGCTAGTTGTACTCTTTTGTACAGAAACATAACTAACAGATGAAGTCAAAGTCCTCTTTTCTGTCTACTCTCCCCTAATCCAGTCTCTTGTCCAGAGGCATTAGTTTGATGAACATCCTTCTATAGGCCAAAATTCTATGCATTTACATAAATATATGCTGGAAACGCACAGTTTTGTATGATAGAAGAAAAACACAAATGATACCATATTGCACATATTTTACAATTTTCTTTTTCTGTATTTTTGGTAGCTGGATGGTATGGGGATCTGAACCCTTGACCTTGGTGTTGTCAGCATCATGCTTTCCCA